TGCTTAAAGCAGCTGAAAAAATTAATTTAGTTTATGGGCCCGATACTGTAAACGAACGTGTAACACAAAAGTGGTTTGCTAGGTTCCGTTCCGGTAATTTCGATGTCAGCAGCTTTTTCGCCTTGATCGAAGAAAAATTGTAAAGTAATTTTAGCGCGAATAAACACGTTTTCAGCGCCGTATAGTATGACATGATGCGGCACGCAACACTAGTACTATGGACAACGCCATCTCTTAGATAAAAACTGAACTTTTTACTTGACCTAATATATGCGTACAAATGTAAGTATGTGAACCAATAGAAAAAATACAAACATTGTTATACAAAAACAACAATTCTCTCAAATAGCATGAGCTTTCTGACGCTATCAATATGGCAGCCAAATTGACAAATCCTAAATTTGTAGTAAATCACACAACAACAACATTTTCATTAATGAACGCTGGCGCACATGTAATAAGCTAAGTCGTTTCATTCATAAAAGCAAACGCCTTACACATCTCCCCGAGCATGCGCTTGCCTACAAGCCACTTTTCGCGACGATGGCAAAAGCTAGAAATCATAAATTGAACAAGTTTTTTATGTTTCCTCTAGAAGGGAAAAGTGACAACCCTGCAACCACAAAACACATAAACAAGTGGCAACAAAGCTTTTGTCGATTTAAAATATTTTACAATTCTAAAATATTTTTCAGTGACTTGCAAAAATCTGCGTCAATATGTATGAATGCTTATATATAAACATACATATTTACGATGATTTGTGGACAAAACTGTTAGAGCGGCAAGGGAAGCGGGGACAATCGGCGAGCTTTCGTTTATTTTTCGGCACATCTCGGATTTTGTACCAACAACACAATGTTGTGACAAAAAACGTGAGCTTCGATCACTGGTTGACCGTGTCAACGGAGATTTCACATAAAGTAATGAGTGTACATATTTACATGCATATGTTGTTTGTAGACAAATTTACAAATATTTGTTTTTCATATTTCTTTAGATGTACACATGATTTGAAAATGACGACGGCAAAACACAATTCTGTACTTTTATGACTCCATAATGGTGTCAAGTACATGAATTATTTTAAGAAATATATCAAATTATATTGTTATATTAGTAATAATTTAAAAGTATTTTGATATATTTCTCATAATAAAGTTAAAATGAATTAACATAAAATAATTTAAAAAATAATAAATAATAGTTCAATAAAAAGGAATATATTTCAAATGGCATATCAATATTCCCAGTTTGGCGTACATATTATATTCTCTTCAATAGTCACCTTTGGGAATGTCAAGAGAGCTATACGTGTACAGATTCACCGCTGTTATAAGAGCAAGAAATGTTATTTGTTTCTATTGTGTGTGAGGTGAACTCACCGATAAAATTTTACAAATGTTCGCTGTCGGACATGCACCTTCTCGATCTTTTAAGTTCTCTGCTTTTACCATTTATAAACACTTTTTTGAGACAAAGTGAATTCACCGAATGCCACAGTCAACATTTCAAGTGCCTTGGAGCACTTTGCAACGCAAAATTTAATACTTATTATTTGATTCATTTCCTTCGAAAGTCAAAACTCGAAGAGCACACAAAAACGTGACTAACTGTTGTCAAAAAAAAAACTTCTAATCGAAATTGGCCTCTAATTCAAGCACATGATAAACATATGTGCTTACCGATAATAAAAAAAAAAATAACAAAATCGAATGTACAAAGTCCACGCAAAATCAAAATTCACCTTTTCCTTTGAACACACCCCGCATATACAGATATAGCATTTATAAATCAACTTTGTAAAATTTTTCAGACATTAACAAGAAATCTGACAGCGCACCGTTTAGTAACTCTGAATGTAAACAATTTAAAGGAGCAATACCGTGATGAAGATGGAAAAAATATATTGACCATCGGAAAGAAAGAATATCATCATATTGATCACCAAAATATATTCAGAGGAGAGTGGGTAAGTTTCTTATACAAAAAACGAGAAAAACCGTTAACTTCGGTTGCATCAAAGCTATAATACTCTTTACAAATATAAAATATTCCTTACACGAACTTGATTTTCATAGTTCAGTTTGCATGGCAGCTTAGTGTTCCGATCAGAACGATTTCTTCGGAGATTACTTTCTTGTATATATTTTAGAGCTTCTAGAACTGAATAATTCCCTGATCTAGGGGCTGGATTATTTCTGAGGTATTTGCCGACAAAAACTGTAGATTTATATGCTTTAAATTTTGGACCTTTTTTGTGACAAGCTGTATTATATGCAAACAAAATAATGATTCGTTTCTGTAACAGCCATTTCTTCTTCTAAATTAAGTATAATTTCGGTCCATGTATCTGCTGCCATCAATGCTTTTCGATTTGAATAGTATTTTAAAGGCATCACATTATTTTTAAAGCAAAGTCGGCTTCCTCGTATTCTGATAATATATTTGGAAGAACAAAATTTTGAAAATCTACTGCCGGATTCGAATCTGATGATTTTTGTTTTCCATGTATTTTATTGAGCTAAATCCTAGGTGGCCATATTGAAATGAAAATCGAGACGTATAATAGGTAAAAGAGCAACACAAAAGTAGTGTCTGATGTTTTCAAAACATTATTTTCTGTGAGGAAAATAAACGTTTTCTCAATTTTTTCCCACTCGAGTTTATCAGTGAGTAGCACCCAACCAAATAGTTTTACATAAGCAAACTGTTGTCAATACCTCAAGATATTCGTAGCAATCACCTGATTGACATATTGAAGACGACTAAAAATTAGAAAACGAAAATTGAGGTGTAAAATGAAATATTTACTTCGAAATTGTTTCGCCTCTACTTCAAATTGCTTCAAGTCATAGTTTTCTTTCTTCAGGTTCTCTGTTCAGGTTCCGCTTTTACTTGCAATGGAAAGTAATTGTGTTGATTGATTGTTTTCAAATTGTTCATTAAATGTTGTGTTTGTAAATTACAACTGCTGGAATATCATCGCCTTCAATTTTATTTATTGTTTCTTCGAAAGTCATGACCTAAAATTAATGAGATTGATTTCAGTTAATAAAAATATATTTTCACCTGTTCATGAACAAAAATGAACCAGAGCTTCGATAGGCGGTTACTAAGAAAATGGCGGATACATTTGGCTTTTCTGAGGGGTGAAGGAAAGTCGTCGAAATACGTTTACAAGAGTTTTAACATTCGAATGAATTTTCCCAAAGCTTCTCTCAAGTCAATGAACCGAGTTTTGCAGTAACCAACCTGTTGATCGTTTTCGTCTTTAGAAATCTCGCAGATTGACTTTAATGCTTTTGTGCGAATGGTATGGAGGTAAACATGTGTATATGTGTATACATGTTCATATCTGAACAACAATGTTCTCTAATAAAATATCAACGACATGCGGTGCACAACCCACACCAACTATGTTCGATTTTAATTTCTTTAATTTTGCAAAAACGTCTTCTTTACTTTTCCGATCAACGCGACGGAAATTAATTGGCACATTGTCCCCACAGTAAGCGATCAATTTATAGTCAAATCAAAATTTTAATCAATGAAAAAATCATATCTGACGTTTCACAAATTTCTTGTGAAAGTTCAATTATTTTAACATTCGTTCCAGACAATGGAGAAAATAACGAATGACGAAGGAAACCTCTTGATTGCTTTGCGATTGGAAGCGTCGGTCGACAAACAAATGAATTAGGCTTTTTGTAAATCAGACTTGAGGCATTCTAATGCATATGATGCAAAACATTGGTTATTATCGCTTCACTTTTTGTTCTTGAACACGAACCTTTTTTTCATTTACAAACAGGTTCGAAATATTTTGGTAGCGCCGATGTTTGATCTACAAATAAAAGTCTAAAAAATTAGAATCGGACGATAACTGCTGTTTTTTTAAATGATTTCTTGAATAACAAACCTGAAACTGAGATTCTCATCAATTAGTTTCTCTCCGATAAAAAAATCTGATATGATTTAAGTTTGAAAAGAAGCAATTGCTGCCACTTTATGCTTCTTTTTCTTCAAATGATTTTCAATATCATTGCCTCCACCAGCAGTAAGCAGGAAAGTTGCATTACATTTGTCGCAACGAACGTTGGAATCGTCATAAGTGATTTTGAAACATGGATATTTTTTCTTAAATTATCGTTGAAAACACACTTTCGTTTCGACATTTCACAGAGTAATATTCGTAAATATTTATGCTTCAAATGCACAAAATTATCTTATGTTTCACTGAATGTTGAAAGAAAGTAATGAGCTGACGTTCGAGCCAAAATTACTACAGAATTCTATACATTCAAACAGAGTGTAGAAATAGAATATACAGAGTGGGCCTTCTACATTGTTGTATTTTTATTCCGTTTATTAGTCCGGCACTGTTCCGAACAAACCAGTATGAATGGTCAGCTAAGCTTAATTCCTTGTCGCTGTTGCCAGCGTCATAACCAACCTGTTGATGGGGTAAAATAACAATTCAATTATTGAGCCAACTGATGTGTCTTCTCCAGCACCAGATGGTTGCATTTGAAGTGCCTGTTCAACTTCAATATGAGTTCCATGCCGTTCACGCTTAACAATTTACATTGGAAGGATTTAAACTTTATCTCGAACTCATTTCACAAAATTCTATTCAATGTGCTAAGAGAGCACCCATACTTTTTGCACAGCTCAGACTTCGGCTTACATTTAGCTTCAGATAAAAGTTAAAGCTAATCCATAATTGTATGGGTTACGTAGCGTTTACCACTTATAGTCTACAAATATTAACAATAAAATAAAATTACAATAGTTTCCAAAGTTATTGTCAAATACAAATTAAACACTTACGCTTTCTCTTTGCTTAGTAAAGATTCCACCAAGTGTTTATCGCAATTGCTGAGAAATATGTACATATATGTGCTAATGCCAGAGTAGTTTTTTCAACAATAATATTTTATGGAATTAACCGGGAGAAAATAAAAGAAAAATATTTTCGATGACATACATATATTTTGAACCAACTAAACTAAAAAAAAATCCATTGACCGGGTTTAGTCATCCGAGGAAATTTACATTTGCTTTCGTATGCTATATTTTTTGCCCGATCACGTGGTTCTTTTAAACAAAGAAACCAATTAACCATAGGGTCTTAGCTCCAAATTAGGATACAAAACTGTAATTTGGTACAGGTGATCATAGTAGAGAGTGATTTTAAAAATTAGGCGTTGTCCCGCACCTAATAGTTAAATGTATGTACATATTAATCTCAAAAACCACAAAATTGGCCAATGGGTGGGGCACCGACAACCTGTAGGTGGAATCACTCACCAATTTTCACTAAATTTGGTACGTAACATTACCGTGATGTTTTTATGTTACATTGTGGAAATGGGCGAAATCGGAATACAACCACGAATACTTCTCACACCTACATCACAATTTAAAATTGTTGAGCAGAGATATGTACACGCAGTTTCAATGTAAGATTGCGACTAACTTCATTGAAAATGATATACATATGAGTGTAAAATGAAAATGAAATTTAGTGATGACAGATTTATATTATTCTTCACTGCGAGCCAATGAGCTTTACGACTCAGCAAATTGACTGCGAAGCTGATATCAGGCCGAGTATTTTGTTGTGCATACAGTATACTACCAATTGCTCCCATATATGGAACTTTTTTCCCCTTCTTTGCTTCTTCGATTTGTGGACACATTTCCAAAGTTAGTTTTTGCGACAAATCTAATGGCGTAGCAACAGCATTACAATTATCCATTCGAAGATCACGTTTAATTAACTTACATTTCTCAAATACATTTGTATACAATCGGTATTGCGAATACCTTTCTTGAAAAATCATCAACTTAAACCAACAAAAATCTTTGATTTTGTTTCTTGTGCAGAATGGTAAATCAATCAATCAAGAGGAGTTCAAAAAAACCTAAATGCCTGCAGTTAAAAGAAAAAGCAGACATATTAGAAAGCTTGCAAAAGGGAATGAAATAAACTTATCTATTAAATATAATGTCACTAAGTATAAAATATGCGCTATTAGAAGGCCATTTTAAAATGTGTAAATAACAAATACAAAGTACTGGGAAAAAGACAAACTTTAAAATCAGCCGAGCTCTATCTATGGAAAAGAGTTTTTTATTATGGTTCATTTGAATGCGTGAGAGAAATTTCCCCGTAAGCGGATTGATGCTAATACTATGTTCGCACCGACACAAAATTCGTGTTTTTATAGACAAAAGAGGTTTTCACGCGAAAACTTGTGTTTTCATCCATACAAAATCTGTCAAACAAAAACACAGTTTTCGCTGAAAACCCCTTGAAAACTTACATTCCACTCATTATAATCGGTGCCTGCTCTAGTTTAATCGATATTATTAGAATACATATTTTGCCAGCCCTAAATGTCAGTTGACAATTTGTTTACATTCCATAATTGGCCTAAACGTACCCTTCAAGGAACTGCTGATGGGTTCAACCACTCACATTTGATATGTCAGTACTGTTAATTTACATTTGTATTTTTAAATTCAGAACTATCCACTGATTGGAGAAAGACGTACGCAGAGCTATTGAGAGGAGGAGATGGCATCAAGTGAAAATTTATTTTTATATTTTCATACTTTATTATATTTTTTGTTGCATTCCTTTTTATTTTTAAGTATATTATTATAACTAATTTTGATTAAAAGTTTGAAATTTATTAAAGAAATAAAAATTATATTATCTACTGCGCAAAAGAAATTTTTACTTCTGACAATTTTCAGCTATGGCGGATTTATGGTCAGCTTTGACTGTCATATTACCGATCAGATGACCATCACTGTTCTTGTAGAGTACATAACAAATGTAAACAAATAAATGTGTGAACTCTCAATAAAAACTCATCGAAAACACACAATGTCGGTCAGAATGACTTTGGTTCCACAATCCACAAATTGTGTTTTCAAGAGGATTTCAATTCGGTGCGA